CACAGATAGGGAGGGATGGAACGCGGCGGGGTGCGGGGAACGTCGACAATGGGAACGCGGCGGCCGCGTGCGCTCCGCCCCGCGCGGGGCCGAGCACATGGCCAAGGACCGCAGCAGCGCATCGTTGGCCGCCGTCTAATTTCAGCCCTGCGCTGCTGTTCCACCGGGATCGAGAGGCCGCGGTCCGGGCCCCTTTCGCCAAAAGCGTTTTAAAGAACTTTACGGCGGTTTCCGCTTTCTTCGGGAACACAGGCCACGGTCGGATTATTTACCCGTTGAGTAGGGGGAGATGATGGCGTGAAAGAAGAGTCTCGGCAGTCACCGTAGACAGGATATTAATGGAAATAATGCAGTGGTTGTCAGGAGACGAGAATGCAGCCACATGGCTACTGCCAGTTATGCAGCGAGGATATCCGGTGGCTGCAAAGTCTATAATTTAGAATAAAAAGAGCTCTCCCAAGACCCAGGAGGCTGACCTCAGCGCCGCGTGGCGGTGTAGCGCGCGGCACCCTCGGTGGAGACGGTCCAGGTTCTGACAGGTGGGGAAGCCTGGTCCCTAGGCGATATGCAGCTTCAAAGCTTTGCAAATTCCCCCCTTGAGAATCATATTGCAGAAACTGACCAGACTTTGCTGAAACGTATTCTGTTGCTTGTTTCTAACAATACTAACAGGATACTATAATCCTTGGATATATGTTTTCCAGCTCCTTTTCTAGATCTTTTTGATGCCACACTTTGCCAACAAAGCCACAAACAGGAATTTATTAGCAATTAATTTACATAACCCGAAAGTAATGAAGAGCTTATGTTAATTTTCCTTTAGACTGCTACTTCCAGTGTACCTTTTTTGAGATTTGGAGAATGTGAACAATCTAGTATATAAAAGGGAAGTGACCAGGACACACACACACCTATCTGCTTACATTGATCCTCTATTTAATTGTTTCTGGTGCCTTACAGTCTAGACAATGGGAAGGCCGTGGTCGCATAGCAGGACTGATGCCTTAGAAAAACTAAATGAATTATGGATTCCCTTCATTTAAGGATGTCAGACACTTCTGTGAAAGCAGTCTCGCACTGTGTCTGGAAATCGCTCTAAACAAGCTTAAATACTCTTAATTGGCCAGAACTTAACATTTAAGATTAGCATAAATATAAGTCATCAGTGGATGGGGGAAATATCACTTTGCAACTTGATCACTTCCAGTTTTTCACCTTCCCACTGCACCCATATTCCTTGCCAGCATCTTGCTTTGCTACCCACGGATCCCAGCCCTATCCCACAGTTTCCCTGTTTTCTCTTTTTTTCACCTCTCCAAGTTTATTTTTGCTCACTGAGCTCTTCGGGTCCCACACTGTCTAATAAGAGGGTGAGACACTTGCACAATTGACTTAGGGAGTAACTGCACCTTCAAAGTTTTTTGGAAATGAAACTGCATGTAAGTGGCTTATTTACTTACAATATATTTTTTAAATCTTTTAACTATGTCATTTAGAAAAGAAAGCAAACAGGTTTATCAGACAGGTTTAATAAAAAGTCATGATGCAAAGAGTTTTTTTGTTTGAGATTTTTGCTAATAATGCCTTTCCCACACTAGCCAGTAACACAGCATCAATAGAAATGTCAAAAAAAGAAAAGGAGAGTGAGAAACATTATGGTGTGCCATATATAAATGGAGTTTTGTATTCCTATTGAAGCTTTTTAAGGCCAACTTGATTTTTCAAGTTGTGTTCTTGTGGACATTACAGAGTGGTTAATGCTATTTGACTGTTGTTCAAAAAGCCAGAAGCATGTATCTGTTGTGCCATGGGGCTGGAGAGGGATACAGAATTACACAGCTGTCTTCTTAGATAAATCTGACCTACTTAGCCTTCTCTGGAGGTATTTTTCATGCTGACTCATGAACAACAGGAAAGTTATGGCCCATTAAGCAGCATCCATATTTTGGAGTTCTCCAAAGAAGACTTCTGTGTTATTTGTGCTGTACTTCCATTATATACCGCAAGATAATAAAATATTATCATAGAACATTAGAACTTGAAAGAAAATTAGAAATCATTTATTAGCCAAATTGCCCAATTTTACACTTTAAGAAACAGAAGCACTAAGAGTATGAGAAATAACAAACTAAAACCCACTTTACCACTGTCATTAAGTGGCTTCTGACTTACAACAACCTTCCACTGGGTTTCCAAGGCAATATATTTTCATGGGCGTAGACTACCCTTCTTTCTCCCAAAGAGAAGCTGTGGGGTTTGAACTGCCACCCTTTGAGTAGCATGCATACCAGGTCTCTTTAATTTCTGTTACTGTTCTGTACCATCAAGCCAAACTTATTACCGTCAAGTCAGAACTGACTCATAGTTGACCCTCCAGTGGGTTTGGAGAGGCTGTGAATCACAAGTAAGGAGTTTGCCCATCTTTCTCCTGTAGAGTGGATTCAAACTGCTTACATTCGGGTTGGCAGTGCAACTCTTTAGCTCTTAGCCACCAGAGCTTCCGATTTAACTTGTAGAGCTGCCTCTAATGACTTCTTGTTGTTAGGTACCACTGAGAAGAACAACAGGACACTACCTGATCCTGGGCTATCCTCACTATAGAGATGACAGGCCTGAGCCTGTCATCCAGCCACTGTGTCAGTTATGGAAAAATACATGTGAAACAATGTCCACTGAAAATACTTAATGCAAACATGAACTAAGTCAGTATGAAAACACTATAAACTAACACAGTAGTCACTAAAGAGGTATCTTACAACAGTAACAATTTTAAGTTGGATTTATATAAACTAAAATAGTTTAAAAAAATTTATACTTAAGGAGATCTGGTGGCCTAGTGACAAGAAGCTGTACTGCAATCCCAGAAGTATGAGGTTCAAACCCACCAGATGCTTTCCTGGAGGAGGGACAATCTCCTCTTGTACCAGTGATCAGATTTGATGGTTAACACACACACACACACA